CCTTGTACATAGAATCAGAGCAAAGTGCATGTTCTTATTTGATTTCCTTATTTTAATGCCAAGATACATTAGTGTGATAAAAGTGCTTTAGTTGTTCAGACACTTTCGATAATTTCTTACGATTCCTATATCCAAAATCACGGCGAGGGATGGAAGGTCTAGAGTGGTTTTCTATGGCTGCTAATTCATCCATCACTAATCTCATTAGGCTGTTAATTCTCAGAGGACATGATCAGTAGTAGACACAATTTCCGAATGTTGAACAAATGTTATTCAGTGAAACTTACAATGGAGTTATTCTTAGTCTAAAAATGCCTCATTTTTTTTTTTTTTTTTCATCACTGAAGTTAAGTTGTATAACCTTTTTTGACCCCGGTCCAAGGCTGGCATCTTCAACACATATTTTCATGTGGCTGTATATTTGAATGGGAATTTCGGGTAAGTTGTAATACTTCCTTGGTCCCTAAAAGACAAAGCAAACTTGAGAATAGAATCCGAATGACCAGCACCAAAGGCATGAGAAGGGGTAATCTTACCAACAACAGAAAAATGGTATAAAAACTTACATGTTCTAGGAATTTTCCTCTATTTCTATTTAAAAATTTGCCATCCATTTTGTTCTACTTCGAATCTCCAGTCCATCTTAAAAAAGTGTATCACATTAATGTTAGCTGCTTTCCTTCCATCGAGACTGTCGAATTCCCAGGTAGAGAGTTTCCTTCTATACCATAACATGAGTTAGATGTTGTTACTGGAAGTAATCTAGAATTTTCACGTGCTGAAGTTCATGTCTTTATTGGAACATATAAAAATAAATAAATAAATGCTTGTTTTCTTTGGAGAGAGATCATCTCAATGTCTATAGCTACCAAGTCTATTGAGGATTCTTTGCAGGCTTAGGGGGTCTCCTTTCTTCCCTTATTATCTCTATTCTTGAGGGTCAGACCCCCTGCCTTGCACAACCCAGAGGGGAACCTGAGATCTTTTTTAAAAACTGCCCAATTTCTCGCCTTTGGAGAAGTGAAGAGTGCCCCGCCCCCATCTACGAAAAGACGGAGTTGATAAAGAATTTCAGTGTCTTCAAATCTAAGATTTAAGTCTCTAACCCCCCACGGTCCAGGACACCCCCCAAGGCCTTTGGACCCCCTTTCATCCAACCCTAACTGCTTTGGACTGGCCCGGGAATCCTTGAACCAGTCCACGGTTCCTGTGGGTCTGTGCGCAGAATTCACAGAGGACCTGTGTTACTTCCCTCGCGAAGAAAGAGAATTATCGTGAAAATTTAGGTGGAAACCATTTCGTTTTTGTCTCCCAAAGAAGGCAACCATGTGCCCAACCACCCCTGAGAAAAAGAACTTTCAGGGGCAACGGAGCGAACAGGTAATTTAAGAGAAAAACAGAAAGTGGTCTCCCACCGCCCTGGACTTCCCTCGGAGTTGGGGGAGTTGGGGGCTCCTGGACGCGTCGCCTTTGGGGTTGCGGAAAAAATAAATGGAGAGCCCGGAGCCTGAGGCTTCTCGGATCCTTTTCCGACCAAAGCCGGGAGATTTGGTGCGGGGTATTTTAACATTTTCCCCCTTTTGTGAAGTGGAACAAACACAACTTGGGCGCACGGCGGCGGCTCGGAGCCTGCCAGCCAGGCGGGCGAGCGGAGCACCAATCAGCGCGCGCCTGCGCTCTATATATACGGCGGCCCGGCCCCGGCGCACCCACGGCGCTCTGCCACTTGTCCCCGGTCCTACAGCTTCAGCATGTCGGAGACCGCTCCCGCCGCTCCTGCCGCCGCGCCCCCCGCGGAGAAGGCCCCCGTGAAGAAGAAGGCGGCCAAGAAACCCGCAGGGGTGCGCCGCAAAGCTTCTGGGCCGCCGGTGTCCGAGCTCATCACCAAGGCCGTGGCCGCCTCCAAGGAGCGCAGCGGCGTGTCCCTGGCCGCGCTCAAGAAGGCGCTGGCGGCCGCCGGCTACGACGTGGAGAAAAACAACAGCCGCATCAAGCTGGGCCTCAAGAGCCTGGTGAGCAAGGGCACCCTGGTGCAGACCAAGGGCACCGGCGCCTCGGGCTCGTTCAAGCTCAACAAGAAGGCGGCGTCCGGGGAGGCCAAGCCCAAAGCCAAGAAGGCGGGCGCGGCCAAGCCCAAGAAGGCTTCCGGGGCGCCCAAGAAAGCCAAGAAGGCCACCGGGGCCGGCACTCCCAAGAAGAGCGCCAAGAAGACCCCAAAGAAGGTGAAGAAGCCGGCGGGGGCTGCCGTCGCCAAGAAAGTGGCCAAGAGTCCGAAGAAAGCGAAGGCTGCCAAGCCGAAGAAGGCCTCCAAGAGCGCAGCTAAGGCCGTGAAGCCCAAGACCGCCAAACCCAAGGTTGCCAAGCCCAAGAAGGCTGCACCCAAAAAGAAGTAGGCTGTTGAAGAACGTCTGCTTCTGCAACCCAAAAAGGCTCTTTTCAGAGCCACCACTGATCTCAAAGAAAGAGCTGAACCTTCTAACCCTGTCCCTTTCCCCCTTTAACCTTTCGTTCTAGGTGTGGTTGGCAGCTACAGTTGACGCCAGCCGAAAAGGGGCGGCGGGGGTCTCTGCGCGGCCCTAGGGCTCGTCCCCTGCCCAGCGGTATCCCGGGTGGCCTCCCCCGCTACCTTGCGGAAGCGCTGTCCCGGAGGCGCGCACTCGCGCGCCAGCCCCGCCCCGCGCCAGGCCATCGAAAACAACCACAAATCAAGTCAGCCAGTTCCTCGGTCTCCAGGAATCCCCCGATTGGGTTGGAAAGCCGTTCAAAAGTCCCGCCCTGCTCGCGGGTTGGCCCGCTCCTCCGGCCCACGCTTTTCATCGCGTGTTTTATTGGGTGGAGGCCGGCCTCTTGTGTATTCTGTGTACGTTTCGTTTCCAGTGGGTTGATTGTGCCTTTTTCGCCCGGTAAGTGTGTCCCTGATACCTCGGACACTTCCCATGGTTTGGAAAGTCCAGCTCGTGTCCGGGGACGGCCGCAGCACCCCGCCGGGGAGGAGACGGTGCGGGCGTCCGTGCCGCGCGCTCCCGTGGGCCAGCCCGCGCGCTGCGGCCGCTGAGGACCGCGTCTGGACCACCGCGCGGCGGCGGCGGCGGCGGCGGCCACCCCGCCACCGGGCGCCGCTGGACCGGCGCCCTTCTGTCCCTCGCGTCATGTAACTTTGCGCAAAAGTGTGATGGGATTGGAGTGCATCACAACAACCCTTCGTCGGCCATCTTGTCCCGGCAGCGGGTCACCGAGCGTCGTTTTAGGTAGACGTCAACATCTAAACGCCGGAGATGCTTTCAACGCATTTTTGCGCGGCCGAAGTCCCAACGGTTTCTACGCGAGTAACGTACGGGTAAACCTGGGAACGTATATGCATGTGTGGGGGTGAAGTGATGTCTCTAACGAAGGCCTTTAGTTTATCTTCACGGCGGTATCTGCGGCTTCTTTCATACTGATGGCGTTTCTTCTGGGCAGAGGAAAGTCCAGCGTCGTGTTTTATATTCTGGTCAACACCGTTGGTTCCAGGAACCGGGGCTTCTGGAGACCCGAAGCTCAGTTCTTCGCCCATTGCCACAGCGACTGATGGAGTCGTTAAGTAACTTAGATTAATTAATCTAATTAATTAATTAATCACTACCCCCATTACCGGTAGTGACCACGGAGTTCATTCCTGCCCGCACCGTCCCTCCCAACGGAATGGGATACTATAATGTTCGTTTTCATGTGTAGAAAGACCTCCCTTCTTTGAGAGCACAGCGCACCCGCGCGCGCGCATTCACGCCAAGAAAAGTTTTCCCAAGGTTTGTTTCGATAATTTTTGTGTTGTCAATTTCACTTTAGAAGCAATTGAAACCCCTGTATTTTGTTACAAGGTTTAATAAATGCGTACGACTCTTCCATTTCTGCCTCCTTTCCCCTCCCCACCTCACTCACTCCCGTTGGAGATGCCAACCGTTATCATAGGCTAAATTCCATGGATACGTGGAGTAATCCTAGGTTTTCTACTTTGTCCCTTTGATCTTTCTGGCCATTTCTCCAGTGAGATCATACTGTTAAGTATTGTTCACAGCACTGTCTTCAATGCTGAGAATACATAACCCATGGTAGGTACTGAAATAAAAATGGAATGTTTGAGAAACTGACATGTTATAACATGAATGTTTGAGAAACTGAGATGTTATAACATGACCGAGGGAAGATAGAGCTCATTCCCTCTCGTTGCTTTTTTTTTTTTTTTCCAGAATTTCCTGGTTATTCTAGTTTTTGTTTGTTTATTTTGTTTTTCGAAATGCACTTTAAGATGCTTCCTCCCTCCCACCTCACCTCTTCACCCCTCCATTACACATAAACACACACACACACACACACACACACACACACACACACACTACCTCAATATCCTCGTACTTTTATTGGGATGGTGTTAAATTTACAAATTAATTTGGGGAGAGGATGAGTTTTCCTGTTCAAGAACATTTTATGTTTTCACATCCCTCCCCCCACCCCCCATTAATATTTTACGTGAGGGTTTGAAATTTTCTGCAGACAGATCTTCATATTATATATTACCCTTTATTCCCAGATATCTTGTCACCTTTGTTGCTGTTGAAAATGACAACCTATGAGATTTTTGATTCCTTTGGGGCCTGGCACACTGAAGATATCCAGTAATGGAAGGGATCTATGCCTAGTGAATGAACAACCTCTAGAACAGTCCTGTCTGTAGCCAAATTAAGCAAGGGAGAAAGAAACAGGTGAATCAGTTTTAATTACATAATGTAGGGGCACCTGAATGGCTCAGTCCATTAACCATCTGACTTCCGCTGGGGTCATCATCTCATGGTCTGTGAGTTTGAGCCCCACATCAGGCTCTTCAGATCCTCTGTCTCCCTCTCTCTCTGCTGCTCTCTCTCTCTCTCTCTCTCTCTCTCACACACACACACACACACACACACACACTCAAAAAGAAATATAAAAAAACCCCACATAATTTATTTAACCTAACATGTCCAAAATATTCTTGCTCAGCACAAAATCAATGTAAAAATATTTATGAGAGATTTTACATTCTTTTTTGTTCCTCGCATTGTGTCTTTGGAATCTCCATGTATTTTACACAAACAGCACATCTCAGTTCCTAGGTGTCTATTTCAAGAACTCACTCAACTGTACGTGGCTCATGGCAGCCTTACGGACAATAAACTCTAGAATGCCCTCTGGTCCCAAATATCCTTCTCTTCTCTAGCCTCATCCTTGGCTTAAAGCTTTCACATCAGTGGGTCTTCATATACGCTGTCCTCTGTGGACCTAAACTTTTGACCCTAAAGGGGGTTGACCGGTCCAAAAGTCATTGGGCCAATATGAACCAATCAAAAATTCTCTGTTCAAAAACTGGAACTGAGTTGCAGAAATTGAGGTGACCTGATGTCAGGGGCTGGGAGGTGTTGTCTGTAGGAGACACCGGAAGGTCTGATGAATGAAAAATGCCGAATGGAGCCAAGGGCAGAGCACAGAGGAGAGATGCATAGAGCTTCGTTCTCTGGGTTCCTAACGTGGGGATTCTGGGTCCTCTGAGCCATCTGTACTCCTGTCACTGGGGCAGGAGCCTCCCTTGGCTCAGGTTGGGTCAAGTTGCAGCAACCAGGAGACCCAATTAAGACACTTAAATTTAATCACAGTACTTGTGCTAAGTACCATAAGTACTTGCGCTAAGTACTCATTCTTTCAAGTCCACACACTTTTTAGGTTCATATACTTACAATGGATCCTAACATTGAAGTCTCCTGCAAACATATTTGCATAGGTAAAGGGCACCCTTTTACTATTCAAATGAAATGCATTCCTCAAAAACAAATATTTGCCCTTCTCTAGTAAGGGTGAGGGGAGAGTTCACTCACAGAGAGCTAAAAGTTATCATAAAAACCTCTAATTTTGCCTAGACTTTCGGTAAGACCTTCAACAGTATGTTTCCTTAATTTTGGCCCATTCCCTCACGGGTGTCCACAAAGTTGACTGGCTTAGGTCTAATACTGTAAGCCATTCATTAGACTCTACATTGGCTGCTTTAAGAAAAAGGTCCTTGTGGGGCGCCTGGGTGGCTTGGTCGGTTAAGCGTCCGACTTCGTCCGACTTCGGCTCAGGTCATGATCCCACCGTCCGTGAGTTCAAGCCCCGCGTCGGGCTCTGTGCTGACAGCTCAGAGCCTGGAGCCTGCTTCAGATTCTGTGTCTCCCTCTCTCTCTGCCCCTCCCCTGTTCATGCTCTGTCTCTCTCTGTCTCAAAAATAAATAAACGTTAAAAAAAAAATTAAAAAAAAAAAAGAAAAAGGTCCTTGTCTTGATTTTTAGTTTGTGAAGTCTATATTTTATTTTGACATTATTAATGTTATCATTTTCAATAATCTACTTATTATTATTAAATAATATTGACAACGGCAATAATATATTCAAATAATTGCCCAAACATGGCTGACTACCTAAACTTGGCAATGATTACCGCATCAACTAAATTGCTGATTGATAATTCAACATGAAAATTCATGATTTCATGTCCACATACGATAAAAGTGTAACTCAGAAATTACAGGTTAGGGGCGCCTGGGTGGCCTGGTCGGTTAAGCGTCCGACTTCCGCTCAGGGCATGATCTCACGGTCCGTGAGTTCGAGCCCCGCGTCGGGCTCTGTGCTGACAGCTCAGAGCCTGAAGCCTGTTTCAGATTCTGTGTCTCCCTCTCTCTCTGCCCCTCCCCTGTTCATGCTCTGTCTCTCTCTGTCTCAAAAATAAATAAACGTTAAAAAAAATTTAAAAAAGAAAAAAAAAGAAATTACAGGTTATTTTAATGCATTATACCCACCTTTTAAACATTTTCTGCGCATACACAAGTGGTCTCGTGGCTGAAAAATTAAATATCCTATTACTTCTCGTAGGCAAATTTCTAGGTGATTCTACGCCTAAGGGAAATGTAGAGAGTAACTTTGGGTTGAAATTCAGGCCAGAGATGAACAGTTGGTCCAGTAAAAGGCAAGGTGACATCATTAGAGGGTTTCAGAGTAGAGCTGGGATTTAGGGTACAGTGGGAACAACACTGCTGTCGAAAGCTAGCAATTCCTGAGTTCTAATTTACAACGTGCCAAGCATTGTCGGGGAGAAGTCTCCATCGCTTTTCTTTTTTTAATGTTTACTTAGTATTTTTGAGACAGAGAGAAGCAGAGTGCAAGCGGGGGAGGGGCAGAGAGAGAGGGAGACACAGAATCCGAAGCAGGCTCCAGGCTCCGAGCCGTCAGCACAAGAGCCCGATGCGGGGCTCAAACCCACCAACCTTGAGATCGTGACCTGAGCCGAAGTCAGACGTTTAACTGACTGAGCCACCCAGGCGCCCCTCCATTTCTTTTCAAACACCTTCTTATCACAGCACTCTGAGGGAGGTGTCATGATTACTGAGGACTGGTGATATAAAGAACATAGCTAGTTAGTTTCTGCTCAGTGAGCCGGTGTCATCACCCTCTGCAGAGTAGTGCTTTTCCTCAGAAATACAATAGGAGTCACATAGGTTATTTGAAATTTTCTAGTAGCCACATTTCAAAAAGTGTAAAGGAAGAAGAAAAATCTATTTTGATAGAACTTTAACTCACTATTATAGAAATATTATTTCAACAAGTCATCTAATATAAAAAATACTGAGATTTTTTTTTTTTAATTCTATTTTTCAGACAACTCTTTGAAACCTGGTACGTATTTTACACGTAAAGCTCATCTCGGTTTGGACCAGCCACATTTCAAGTGCTTCATAGCCATATATGGCTAGTGGCCTACTATCTTGGATGATATAGTTCCACAGTAACTAAATACTGTGATGAAAACACAAGCAAATACCTGCTCTGTAGTAGAATCCAGATGTTTCCAAGGAGATGATTATTCTGAGCTGGTCTTGAAGCCCAGAAAGCATCTCTGAAAGGTGATGTTTCTTCTATGCATCGTATGCATTTCCCCTTGTACTAGGCCACTGACCAGAGGACTCTCATAACAGAACATAGCCCAGGCCAGGCCACTGCATTTCCCACCCATCCACTAATCTGTGAGTCCGAGTGAGCCTTGAGGAGGAACTGGGTCTAACAATCCATTTCCAGGAAGTCTTATTGGTCCGAAGATATTTAGTGTGTGGGTTTGGTGTGAGGTTGCTTGTCAATGATATCTATTATGAATCTGGCCAATTAAAGTAAACTCTCTTGGGCTAACATTCTTCCTCTATAAAATGGAGACAGTGAGAGAACCTGATTTTCAGGGTTGTATTAAGAATGTTCTATAATAATGCAGGCCAATCGGTTCATGTGATATTTGACCCATGGAGAACTAGGAGACAGACTCCAACGAAAATGTGGGGACCTCTTCCATGGAACCTTCTCTAAAGGAAGATGATATTCAGCCCAGGCTAGATCAATACCATCCTGCAATATTGTCCCAGGGAACTCACCGCGATACCGAAAATGTTCAAACTGCTCAGAATTGACTTTATCTCCTCCCCACAACTTTTGTTCTTCTGGTAACTCTGAGAATGGTACCACGGTTCAAAGCATCATGCAAAGCAAAGCTCTTTCCCAGAGACCTAGAGTCATCCCAAACCAGTGATTCTCAACTCCTAGGGTGCTAGGCTGAGATGTTAGAACAGAGTGGTAGGAGGGCATGGGAAAGCCGTATATAAGTTAGAAAAACGTAGCCAGTGATCAGAAGCAGGTTTACCCAGAAGCTAATGAAACTCAAATATTAGGCGCAAAGGCCTGAGAGGGGCCCTTGGGACTGTGTTCACTGGGTCTCATTTTTTTGCAAAATTTCAATGTTAAAATATTTTCTTCACAGCCGCTTAGATTTGTGGTCTATTGGAAGTTAATCTTCCCTTTCATTA